GAGCTAAAGACATAATGTTTAATATCTCAAAAACTGTAACAGCACAAACGCTCTGCACAAACGAAGCACTAACCAATCCGCTTACTTGTTTGGATTTTTTGTGTCGGTGGGGTGTCAGCTTCACACAGCTAGCCTCACCTCCTGTTTACAAGCTTGCTCGCTCCCGACTTTGGGCCCTGCTGTGGGGGAGGAGCTTAGGGAGGGGAGCTGAGAGCAGGGGGGAGGGACTACAAGGTTGCATCTGTTCAAAATTTTCTAAGTTTTTGGGTTTTCAAGAAACTACATACAGCAGCCTTAAGTGCCACTCACACAAACTGTACTTAATGTGCACAAGATTATCCATTTTAAAATGAATACTTTAAAAAATGTAGAAAAATAAGTTTTATGACCAAAACATTTTTTTTTTACTAAATTGGTACTGCATCAATTAAATCAGAAATATACTTTCAGACGCATAACATCCACATCAGTGGACAGAATTAACTGCTCTTTACTGCTTATAAAAAACTATTTCAAAATAAAAGAATATGACCACTTACATGTTCTGGTTTATCATTGTACTTTTTCAACTCTAGGGTTCTTCTGGAATACAAGGATTGAGTGGATACAGAACCTAACAGGTGTGGCTGTCTGTCAGCCATCTTGGATTCAGAGAACATTYTCATCATGCAGTTACAACAACTGACCACTGAATGCACCTCAATGGAGTGAAGCAGCATAGAGCACTCTAGCGGCTGATGGGCAGTTTCATTATAAAAACAACTGCGTTTAAGAATAAATTACTTTTAATTAGCATCCCACTGTAGTGACCACTATGCGCCAGAAAGCATTTTCTCTTCTGTGCTTTTCATATAGTTTTAATTAAAGCTTAAAAAAAGTTTAAAAACCATACGTTTTTAATGATTTTTAAACATTGTAACTGTTAAAAGATCTACAACATTAACAGCAGGTAAGAAATTTTTTGTTCAGAGTATCGCTACAAAACCCAGCTTCTTATGATTTGAACTATTTTTTGAATTTTAAATATATTTTTTAAGTATGTTCCCAAAAATAAGCTGTGTGAGCAAATAATCCAACAATTCCAAGGAGTTTGGAGTTTTAACATCGTCACTAATATCATCAAAAGATTCAGAGAATCTGGACAAGTCTCTGCAAGCAAGCAGCAAGGCCGAAAACCAACATTGAAAGCCTGTGACCTTCAGTCCCTCACTGCATTAAAAACCAACATCATAAATTACCACATGAGCTCAGGAACACATCAGAAAACAATTGTCTGTGAGCACAGTTTGTTGCTATACCTATAAGTGCAAATTAAATCTAATTCTACCATGCAAAGCAAAAGCCCTATGTCAAAAACAYCCAGAAACACCACCAGCTTCTCTGGGCCTGAGCTCATCTGAGATGGACTGAGACAAAGTGGAAAAGTGTCCTGTGGTCGGATGAGTCCACATTTCAAATTGTTACTGGAAATCATGGACGTGGTGTCCTCCAGGTCAAAGAGGAAAATGACTGTCCAGATTGTTAGCGCAAAATTCAAAGTTTCATTGGAACATGTTGCAGGCATCTAATTAAAAAAGAGAGAATATTTACAAAAATAAATAAAAACACTCATTACCAACACTAAATACCCCCTCCCTCCCTCATCTGTGATAATTGTATGCACATATCAATTTGACACTCATATGCATCCTTCACTTTACTTTACATTTACCAGCATTAAGCTTCTATTCCACTATAATTGCAATATTCAACTTTTTCTTGTATAAAGATCTTTATTTTGCATCACTGAGGTCCCATCCATTTCCTGTTATTTTTGTGTTTATGTCACAATATTGTAGTACACATTTATTGTCAATTTTTTGTTTATTTACAATGTTATTGGATTGTGCAATTTCTGTTGATTACTTGTTTAATAATGTAACTGGGAAAGAGAGTAACGCAATTTCAATTCTCTGTATGTTTTGCACATATGAAGCATTGACAATTGAACTACTTAAATTT